GATAGGATGCACCACTCTGTTTAAAATATTTGGACTGAAACCCAGCAATCCTGCAAGAGAAACTGGTCTTTTCTGCAAAACATCAGCTGGTGATGTAGAACTAAAGGCAGGATGATGAAACTGGATCATGATTGGACAACAGAGGATGCATTTCCGCCTCAGAAGTGCTGCCTTTAAAACATATAACTCCTGAATTTATTCTAAAAACATCAAAGCTGCACACCGGGTTTCACTTCAAACCAAGGCTGACCTCTTCTTCGGTTTTCAGATCCCTCTCCTGACACACCCAGAGTGCCAGGATCAGCATTCACAAACAGCAGCAGGAGGCTGTCAGAAGCAACAACACACTGAAGGAGAAACAATGAAAGGAACCCAAGCACTGGGAGGATTTTTACGTTAAAACCATCAGCAGGCTTGCTGGCCATCGACCAGCAGGAAATGCCGCTCGCTAATCCTGAGTGAACGATCAGATCGGCAGCTGATGATCTGTGAACCGAACTCCTAAATTCTGCAGCTTAATGACATCCAGATCAACCCGAATGCAGCCGTTTGTTTACAGAAAAGCTGCAGAACCTCTCTGCTTCATTATGGGCTGCAAACCAAAGCAGACTTCATTACTCCGAAGTGCAAGCGACTATTAATTATGCTGCATTTTCCCACATTGGCCACATTTACTTCTACAGATCAAAACCATCAGGAAAAAAATAAAAATACGTAGTCTCCGGCTATCGTGCAAAAACAGGCCACCCCGCCCCCATTTTTCAGCCCAGAGCCCCCTCCCTTTGGCCTTAAAGCCCACCAAAGGAATGTTTCCTCCGAGCAGAGCCAGGGGCAGAACAGAAAGAGACAAAAGAGAGGGGGGCTGACATTCCTCTCTCCGTCTGCTCGACGGACTGACTGGGGCGTTGTTTAGACGAACAGGCCCGACCTGGATCACAGTCAGCTGAGATGGAGAGGGTTTTCCCACAGCTGACCTGGGATCAGCTGGGAATGACATTGCCATCGTCTCTGACTGAGCAGACGTTTTCACACAGAAGAAAAAAGGGGGCTTCTTCTATCCAAACATCAGAAGGAGGACAAGAACCATCCGGGTGACCAAAGTTTAATAAATAGAGTAAAAACTTGTCCAAGATGACAAACTTTTTGCGTTTCCATTTTTAAAAAATCCACGACTCCGAATTTACCATATTCTTAAACATCGCTTTAAGAAGTTGTTAATGAGAAGCAGGACCACTTTACGAGGATTTACTCTTCTGGGAGCCCATCTGAAATGTTATTTTTCCTATTCTATAACATGTTTGTGCAAAACATATGCAAGAATTACCTGAAAATAAAATTTCCCTTCTAAAATTAACATTTAGTTCAGATCTTTATGCACTAGATTTAGGTTTTGGACACAATTACTCTACCCAATTACTTATTTCTTTCTATCATTTTCCACCATTTTCTGGCAGAGATGCTCCAACAGGTTGAATGTATAACTGTTAATACTTATGCTGATGTTAAGATACTATAAATCAACCAAATACTGCATCCAAGCAGTCTTTATGATTAAAATACTGCAGAGATGGATACAATGATGCCCACCGTTGTTCAACGTGTCATGGAGATCTATATTTAGCAACTAAAACACACTTAACAGGTCAAGATTTGTTCCCATCAAGCAGGAAAAATATCTAAATAGAGGATTTGAACCATTTATTGGTAAAGTTGATCTCCAGTCCTGAGCAGTGACAAGCAGAGATGCTAAATGCATTCAGCTTCACTGGCTTAAGGTGTGTGAACATGCAGCGGCAGGAATTTAAGGATGATTCAGCCGCTGCTACATTAAGTGAGCTGCTTTAACCAGAACCAACCCGAAAGGAGAACTATCCACTTTTCCAGCAACCTCCGAGGTGTTGCATCATTGCCCGTGTTCACCAGTCATGCTCACTATTCCCACGGTTTCAGCTCCCCATCAGTGTGGGGAAGGTAAACCCACCGGGCCTCATGCAAGCCTGTGCAGCAGCCGGCCCTGAGAGGAACCGTCGGGTCCTCTCGTCCTCACTAAGTGTTGCTCGCAGCTCGTCCTGAGCCAAACCCAGGGCCTCGGGGAAAATACATGTGAAAGTGGGCGGCTAAAGAACAAACGAACATTGTGTCCCGCTGCCCACCTCGCAAAACAATGCATCAAAAATGACTGGAGGAAGCGCAGAGGAGGGGAGGCGGTAAACTGGTTCAACAAACAGACCCAGTGCTCCCAGTTACAGCTGTAAAATCTGTGAAATACAAACCAGAAAGGTAGAGAAATCTTTTAAGAAACTGGCCTTTTTTTTTTTCCTTTTTTTTTTTTTTTAGATGCATCTCTGTTGTCTCACACTTCTGATTTAAATAAGCTGCTAATAAGTTACTACAAGTTAACTTTTTAAAACATCCCAAAAACCTTTTTTTTGTCTTCTTGGTAACAAAAAATTCAAAAAACGCAAACAGAGGTTAGATTATTGCTAGCTCATCTTTTCTCTCACTGACGCCGCTGCATGAGTCGCTCACTGGACCCAAAGTTCTTTGTTTTTTATTTCTTATTCATTTAAAGTTAAGATTGTTGCCGATGGTTGATAGTTTCAGTTACTTAAAGCTGGATGGCTGTTTCTGCTGGTTTCTCACTGTGAAGCAGTTGTTATCTCTAACACAACATTTTACAGAAACAGGTTTGTAGAGTACTTCTCTTTTTTCCCCCTTTAAATTCAAATAAACATGTTTTTTGCGCAATATCATCAGTGAGAAACTTGCACATCAGCCAGCCGGGTTTCCTGACATCTCTCTCCTGATTCCAGAAGATGATGGAGCCCAGTGTCAGACGCACACAGCTCACACACCAGAGAGACATTTTGCACTTACTGGTCAACATTTAGTCACTTCAGATCAGCCAATTGGCCATAAATGAAGTTTACTGTAGTGTTCTATTTTTTTCTGTCTGGGAAAAAAAAAAAAGAGGGAAACGCACGACAAACTACGCCTCGACTCCTCTAAAGCGTCATGCTCCTTCCTGGTTTTCCACCTCTCAGCATGAGAATCACCGAGAGCCCAACTGTCAGCGAGAATCAGGATTGGCGTGTCCTTACACTGAAAACCCTGTGGTTGCGTCACACCGTACTTTGACAAGTTTCGACTTGTGGCAGCTCTTCAAGCAGGAAAGAAAAAAAATGGTTAATAACATGTTTGTCAGGAGGGGAGCCTGTAATAAAACGCAATTAACTGGACCTAGCTGGGCTCGGTTCTGCAGCTCCAGGCTGCTGGGGGAAACGTTGCCAGGGGAAACCTGAAAGTTGTCAAGCGTTTGACTTTTTTTTTAAGCTGTCAGTGCCAGAAACAAAGCTTTCCCACACTCATCATATTCCGTTAAAACTCTCAGAGGCTTTTGCTCTCTTTACCTCATGCTAGGAGGCCTGCAGGCACCGCCTCTGCACAGGTTTAAACTGCAGGCCTCACCCTGTTAATCATTAGTAAGGCAACATTTTCCTCATGGATGGCTGTCTGAAACCGTGCAACCTCGGCAGGAACGCAGCCCCAACACAGGGCAGGAATGAGTGATGGCTAGAAAAGAAAAATTTAAAAAATGCAGGTGAAGATGCCTGGCATGCTGTCACACCACCTGAAAGGCACGCAGGTGATTTGAACAATGCATCTTCCAAATGCAATGTAGTACCTGCTTTATGAACATTAGAGAGTGAACAAAAATGATGCAAGGGTGCGTTAATGAGTGTAAGGTATGAGAACAAGGAGGGGACATGATAGAGGAATGCAGAACCAGATGTTCAGGTAAGGTTTCAGGCTGTGTGGAACTGCTGTGGGAGGTGCAAAGGGTGGGTGTTTGGTCCAGAGGAATCAAATGACCAATCTAACCCTGTCAGAAAAGAACATTGCAGACGATGCAGCTCCATAGACCATCATAAAATCACTTTTGGCTGTTGTCTAGTATAAATAGCTGCAATTGTGCAAATATTTCCAAGCCATTACTGGAAAAAAATGTGTTTTAGTCAATTTCCTCAACTCTGCCTTTGACTGTGCTCTTTAATAAAGGGTTATTTCACACCGTCTCATAAGAATGGGGCTTACTTTAAAACATCTTTGGTTCAAACTGTAGAAAAACCTTAAACTGTGAATTTAAGATTTATTACAACACAATTTCCGATCTGTGAAAGCTTTTTTCTGTTTGTGAAGAGCGAAAAACTGGGGCGGTTTCAGTCATCTTTAATAATAGAGTCAATCCAAGATTCTCTCAATGTTGTGGTTTTGGTATTGGAGGTGATCCAGATTCCCAACAAACACTAAAAAATCCTCCCCTGGGATGAAAAGTGTCACAGAGGAACCAATTCAACTGAAGAGTTTATACTATCTAAAAGAGGTTAAACAAAACAAATGTTTCACTGTGATTTTAATAGATCTGCTTCGAAGAATAATCAAGAGAACTTGGTTAGTATTTGCATTCTGGATTGGAAGTGTATAAACCCAGTTAAACATTAAAGAAATTATATTTAGGATTTATAAAAACGCATAAACTGATTAAAATAACGACTACCAATTCGGTTTTACAGTTAATTTAGATTAAGAAGCTGATCCAATGTGGTTCAGGTTCATTTAGAAGTGTTGGTAAAGGATCAACCGTCCAGCAACAGCAGCTATCGGTTAGATCCGCTACAAACCCGCCTTTAACGGCCTCCGACACCCAGAAGGAGCAGGCAGAGGAACCACAGAAAACCCCGCCTGATGTGCCATCATCAGGCCGAAAACCTCTGCACAATCTCAGCTTTGGTCTCCGCTAACAGTGTGGCTCCTTTACCGCTCAGCCAAGTGAAAAACAGAACAAAAAGGATTTTAAAAAATTATAATAAAAAACGTTTTTAAGGAGAGAAAGCTAGTTTAAAAAAATCAGAGAACCAGGCTTTCACGAGGCCCGTGTTCGGTTCTCTGACCTCCACGTCCATTTTCTCTGAGCTGGGCCCCGTCCGGCTCTGCCTTACCTTCCTCTGCTGCTTCTCCCAGGCCGGGTCCAGCAGTAGGTCCCGGTCCCAGTCGTTCTCTTGCTCCATGTAGGTCTGTGGACCGCCGGTACTCTGGTTGTTGGCAGCGTGGTAATCTACCATGTCAGCAAAGCAAAACCTCTGTTCAGTGCGACACGAACAAACTGTCAGAGGTTCGAGAAAAAAAAATAAAATAAAAGCGGTGAAGGGAGGGGGAGTAAGGCCCAAATCAAAGAGGTGAGGGTGGGGAGGGATGAGCCAGGAAACAGTCCGTGTTGGTTCCAGCCGTGAGAGGCTCTTCAAGGTAATCAGTGTCCGGTGTGCGCAGCCAGAAGATCCCGCTACTGCTGCTGAGAGAAGAAAAGCTCTCAGTGAAACGGTGTGGCTGCTGGGAGGAGGAGGAGGAGGAGGAGGTGGAAGAGGAGGAGGAACCGGCCGCTCCTTCACAGTCAACAGACTCTGCTTCCGGTGGAGCCCTTCAAAGTAAAGTGCAACCAACTTCCACCGAATTAATTAAAGGTGTCGCCTTCATTGGTTCCACCCGCCGTTTTAGTCACTGGATTGCTGATTGCCCGTTGGTAGTACGCCACCGGCCGCCATATTGGTACTCCCTAGTTAGACCGGTTGCGATGTAATGTATCACACAACATGATGTTCTCATTTTCAGGGGGACTTGAGACTTTTAAAATAAAGACAAATTAATCACTTTATCACACACTTTCATTCGCTGTTTCATAGCATAAGTAGATTACTTTAATTTATAATAAAAAAAATAGGCACATCACATTTTAAGGTAATTATGAAGTAGATGGAGTCTTTAAATCATGTAAAATAACATATTACACAAACCCATCACAATACAATTAATGTGTTAATAAGCATACAAATACAAATGTGCCAAAAGTGCTAAATTGATGATGTACATGTAATATATATATATATATATATACAGAAAGAGGTCAATTGATTGAGTTACTTTTTTCTTCTACCAATATGACATGCACCATATTTCAGCGCATGACTCTTTCAAATGTGAAATACAGCAAACACTACAAAACAACATCATCATTCACTTGTTAATGAATTACTACATTGACATTTCACTGTGAATTTGTTTCTATTTACTCTATTTTTTATTTTCTTTCCTTAGACACAATGTCAATTACTTATTTAGTCAATATCTTCGAGTCAGTCCGAGATAGCCATACTAATGTTACGCTGCATACTATACTATTGGATACATTGGCACATATGTGGATTTTCTTGGTCAGTACATCCACTGACTGTGAAATTACCCGTGGAACGTCTTCCCACAGTTGGCAAACTGCTTGTTTTTGAAGCCAAATGCTACACAAGTATGCATTTTTACGGCATGTCTCTGTGGGAGTGGGGGGTGCCAGAATGGTAGACGATGGCTTCACTTTTTTCAGGCAATCAGCAATCCAGAGAATTAGTAGAGATCAGTGGTTCCACCCAATTACACCAAATCTGTAAGGACTCTTAGGTCAGAAGTGTGTGAGTAACTTAGTCGGTAAAAGAAGGACGCTGTATCCTTCCTATAATAAGAACCAGTGTTCATCTGAAGCTTGAATACCTTAAATTTTAGCTCCTACCTCCTGTTTCTAGCTCCTTTTTTCACCTTTCGCATGGTCAACAGTAGGAGCTCTATCTAGGGTATAAAAGGAACTCCAGACTACTGAGTTTTTTTTTCTTCTTCTGTTTTTTATCTTTACATAAAACAGAAATATCAAAATCAGAGGCATAAATCATAAATGGACAGAACAGCAGCAAACAAAGCACATATAAACACAAAACAAAAAAAAACAAAAAAAAAAAGGGTTTACGTGTGAGAGTACATTTGAACCTGGAGAAACTCACACAAAGAAAAGTTGCAATTACAAAGATGTTATTGACATGAAACAAATAAGTTATTTAGGGGTTGGACCCCGGCGGAAGACATGATGCTGCGAATTGACAAGCTCTGATTAATTTAGGAAAAGGATAGAGTGCTCTTCTACCTCTGGACCCAAACACTGGTGATGGAAAAGGCCAGAGTATGAATGAGACAGGGAATAGCCTGAGGTCGAGGGGGGAGATGGAGCAGAGGTGGGTAGATGTTTATCTGGTATGCAGGCGAAACGTTGGATGTGGAGCTTTGAAGATCTTTGACAAGGATTAACTTCAGAGGGGGTGCGGCCCTGGTGTTGATTGCACATGGCACATCACAGGTGATTTAGGTGAAACTGATTTGCATCTTCCAATTGAATTTGTGCTTCAGCTTTATTCAAAGGAAAAGGTTTACATGATTTGCTTATATTGATAGTCTTTCGTTTTTTGATGAGAATGTCTTTAAATACTGTCAAGTTCTATATTGAACTAGTAATTCAGGCTTCCTGCTTCTGCATATCCAAAAATAAAATAATATTTAGGAAAAGAAGCATTACTGTTATTATAAATAAGAAAACCAAAAATAATCAGAATCAGAAATACTTTAATTATCCCAGAAATTACTTTTGTTACACGCTCCAGTTACAGTTNATATATATATATATATATATATATATATATATATATATATATATATATATATATATATCACACTGTTTACATCTGATTCTTGCTGCACTTTAAGAAATGGAAATGTCATGAGAGCCGTACAAAAGGAAATGTTGTTTTGTAAACAGTGTCTGTATATAAAATTACAATAAATGTTGTCTAAGTATCTAGTCTAAGTTGTGAGTATTTTTAGTTTACTAGAGTAATTTTTTTTTTTGAGGGGGGCAACTTATATCTTCCACTCCACTACATTTCAAAGTCATATATTGTACTTTCTTCTCTACTCCATTTCTAGGACACTGCCAGTTACTTGTTACTTTTGGCTCAGCTTAGATTTGTAATCCGCTGTTGCTTTTTTTGTTTCTTGAAATGTAATTTTAACATGACAGATAGCAGCCCTTAGGACTGAATTTGGACACCACTGTTTTAGAGAATCGCACGACTTTTCACACATGTGAGAAAATTTTGTGCAGACACTATTTGTAGTTCATAGATTTTATCAAGGCGTTAGTTGTTGCAGCTAAGTTGTTCAAAGCAGAGGTGTAGTTTCTTTGTGGTTATAGATTCAACCTTAAACCTCTATTCCATAGTGAAAGTGTGAGGAGATTCAAGACACTCCTGTTTTGATTTTGAATAACAAATAAAGATCAAAATTGCTGTTCTTGTTTTTTCTTTGGGGTTTTTATGCTGACGTTTTTTAGAGGTGGTGTAGAAATTGGGTGGTTCTATGCATGAAAACATCAGCTGGTATCTGAAAGAAAACAAGATTTAAAATTACTCTGAAAATTATACAGAAATGTACTATTAGAAAATGTAATTTGTATACTTTCTTGAATACTTAAGTACTTTAAAATGCACGTACCTTTAAATTCTTAAGTATTTTCAAAATGAAGACTTCGATACTTTAACTTGAGTACATTATTGACTCAGTAACTTGTACTTGTAGTTGAGTAAGATTTGACTATGAGTATCAATACTTTTACTCAAGTACTACTGCTGCTCGTATCAACAGAAGTAAAAGTCTATTTTTAGCTGCACTTTTTATTTATGTTCAATATTTCGTGTGTATCAGTTGTATTCATACTACACTTTACTGTTTAGAAGAAAATATGTTTCAGTGCTGTTTGCACAAAATACAGCTTAAACCTGTTTTCTTTCATTGTTACCGTGGTAACCGTGGCCTTTGAGGCTATCGACAATCAAGATTATGACCTTCATAAAGTGGGAAACTGAAATGCCAGCAGTTCTAAAATTATGTCTGAATTGGTGCTATATAAAGAAACTGAATTGAATTATGTGACTCTGACTGGTATCACAATTATCTGATGGTATCTGGAATCCAAATTTTTCTGCAAATGTGTTTGTTTGTAGTTTTGTTTATAATATGGTCACACTATTAAAGACAATAAAGACTCAGTCTTTTCTTACACCCATTTATGTCTGTTTTTACTTACTGCAACAGTTAATAATATATAGAAACAATAAACTATGCATACTCTACTGTGAGGAAATAGGGTTTTGTGACTAATGAATAACATCAGTGTTCAAGACAAGTACTATTACGTATTTTTGTTGTGTGGGAGTTTGTAATATTTAATGTAATTCAAATAAAGTGAACAAGTGACGATCAATACCAAAGTGGAAATAAGGGCAAAACATTCTAGATCATATTTTATATTTATTGTATTGTTAAATAGCTTTCTTAGTTATTTGCTTACCTCGGTATTTACTAATAAAATTATTTTAGGAAGTTTGCATTACACCCAGTAAAAGAGTGACTTCTTCACAATCAGGTTTGGCAAGTTAATTTGACTTTGAGAAAAATGCTTTTATTTTGAAGGAATGTTGATAAACGTCTCCTTTCCTAAATCTGGTAACTTAACAAACCAGTTGTCTCCAGTGCATTAAATTGACCTGAACTGCTCATGAATAAACATACACCTGCTTTTTCAACGTGAGCTGCACACATAATAAAGAAACAATGAACTTTAATAAAAGTGTTGACTAATAAATGACGTTGAAATAAAACATAAGCGTCTTAGGTGAGAAAAACAATATTATTCAGATTTCAATACAAGTTAAACTTCTAATTGTAATCTCATTAATACTTCATATTAATAAATAGTTGTGTTGCACCGATACCGATACCAGTACCGGGATGACCCGGAACCAGCACTAAAATGGTGGCATCGGTATCGGTGAGTATCAACTAATAGGGCACCGATACCATTTTGAGAGCCAATCCTGGTAGGCAATAAAAAGTTCTGCTGGATTCACTTTGTATTAGTCTTTTTCCTGCTTCACAAAGGTAGGCAGCAGCTTCACAAAGCCATGATGGCAATTATTTTACATCCAAGTAGTATGCAGTTATTTATATACACACACACACTCACACATCAAGGCCAAAACATGGCGCAACATTAATAAACAGTTTCCCTTTTTTTATGAAAACATGAATGGTGCTGATGCTGAACCATACAGACCCTTTCAACAACGCTGACAGAAAGAGTGGATTTCTCAAATACGGAAATTCTAACAAAAATGTTTATCCAAACAACTATTACAGAGGCAACAGAACAACAAAACTAAAATGCTAATTTTTTTCCCACATGAAAGCTAGATGTGGCTCTAAAATTTCTCACTTATAAGTGTTTTATTGTTGTCACAATGGCTGCACGGTGGCACAGTTTGTAACACTGTTGCCTTGCAGAAAAAAGTTTGCTGTCAGTAATTCACTTCAGGACATGGGTGTAGTAAAATTTTAACTTTTCGCAGACGATGGTGTAATATGGAAAGAGGGAGATATTTA